AGCTCCAGCACCTGCACAGGGAACCGGTCTCTGAGCAGCTCCAGCTGCTGCTCTTTAACACTCGTTGTGGGAGTGATGAGGGTGGGCTATAAACCACCTCTTTAATACCCACCCCTCCATAGGTCTCCTGCCAGCTTCTGGTGTGAGAGCTGGAGGTGAGGAGCTGTGCCTGTTCCCCTCCTCCTTGCTACCACAGAGCGGTGGCACAGCGAGGTGACATGTCACCTCTTCTTCCCTGTTTCGGGCTGGGGGGGCTTGAGGTTGGATGTGCTCCACCAGGCACATGGGAGGCTGGCAAACAGGACATGTCCCTGCTGCTTGGTGTGTCTCTGGGCAGGCATTTAGGAGACTCGTGGGGCTGGGGGTGTTCAAGAGGGATGTGGCTCTCCTGGAGAGCGGTTTTGGGGTGAGACAGGTGCCCTGGGCAGCCCTTTTACAGCTTCTTGCAGTTGGTGGGCTGGAGATGAATGGGCAGTCTGCAGCTGTCAGAGCGAGATGTGAGAGAGTTTTCAAGCCCCATCACTTCCCTGTCTCCACTTCACACCTCCAGCCTAGGAAGACTGCCTTGGTGCAGGGAGGGACTCAGGGAGCAGCAGGGAGCCGGGATAGCCCTCCTTAATGAGCCCCACACCTCCCTTTTATCCCCAGCAGCATCTCCCCTAGCATCCCATGCAGCTCAACAGATTGTAAATCCCCAAAGCTGGGGCTTACCACCAGGAGGAAAATGATGCCACACCACATCCCTGTCCCTAGGCAGGATTTTGTCACCTTCTGTGTCACCCTCCCTGCACCACCACTGCCTTGGTAGAGAGAGGAACGGGGCAACTTGCAGATGATGGGTGATGCCTGAGATGTTGTCAGTGTCCCAACCATGAGCTGGATGTCCCCAGAGACCACCTGATGGTGACAGCCAAGGCAGCAGAGAGGTCCCCAGATGTGGCAGAGTCCCTCCCTCCTTCCACCTTCTGATCTCCTTCCATGCCCATTAGCCCAGCGCCAGCACTGGGGCTTTTGGTTCATTTTGGCTGTAGCCATCTCAGGGGCTTACGCAGCTGCTGGTGCAAAGAGAGATGGGCGAAGGGGCTCCTCACTGTGCAGTTTGCTGCTTGAGGGGAAAATTCACAGAGCTCCCCAACAGTTGCAGCAGTGCTGGTACCATAGAGGCTTATTCAAAGATGCTACTGGCATCTCCCCCTGGGCTGATGGATGGGCTTGGGAAGGATTCCCGGGCTGGCCACCTTCTCTCCATGGTGTCTGTTCTCCCAACAAACTCTGTTTCACTGGGAGGTTGTCGTAGATGTTCAGCTGAAAAACATCTCAAGGGGAGGACCTGGCAAAGATGGGGATCAGGGAGAAGTTGTGAGATTTTTTTTCCCCCTCATCTGTTTGCCACCAGGGCCATTCAGAGCAGGGCTGGGGGCTGGCCCGGAGGGGTCTCTGCAAGGCACGGCAAGAGGTGGAAGGGAGGTCAGCACCCCGTGAGCGAAGCCGGCGATGTCAGTTGTCGCACTCTTCTGGCACTAGGTTGCTGCAACACCCCGTGCCTCAGTTTCCCTCTTTCCTCTGGGCTGGTGACAGCACTCCCCTCCCTCCCAAATGCTGCGTTTCTCTTCAGCCCCACCTTAACCTGGGTTTTTATGTCTCTGGGGGCATTGCTGAATGAACCCCCCAAAGCTGGGGGGACTGATTTTCACGCCCCAGCCCTCCCAGAGACCTGCCTGATGCTGGTTCTTGGCTCCTCCTTCCTCCATCTTCAGCAAGAGCAGTAATGGCATCCCCACTTCTGGCCTGGTTCCCTGTGCCCAAACATCCCTCTTCTCCTCCTGGGCCCCACCTCTGCCTCGGGTAATTGCAGGAGGCAGGAAGACAGTGGGTTTTCCAGGCAATGGTTTTGGGAACCCTCAGGAGTGCTGGATCCAGGAGCAGCGCATGGGGCCGTGCCACGCAGGGACCAGCTCCTCCCCAGCAAGCCCTCACCAGGCTCCAGGGGAGCATCAAGAAGAAACCAGAGATCCCCAAGCACTTCTCCACGTCAGATACAAATCCTTCCTGAGCTTAATTCCCCACATGCCAAGAGAAATGCTGCTCCCGGCACCAGCACTGCAAATAAAAGAGGAAAGATTAGAAAGACCCACTGCTGCCCTGGCTCCTCACCCCATGGGGCTCTGCCACTCTCTCTCAGCAAAAGCTGGGATAAAAGCTGGGATCTGTGACCTGGGGTATAGAGGGGGGAAAGCCCAGGTATCGGTTGGAGCCCAGCCAGGGACATTCACTGCCTTTGGGATTGTTTTGAAGAGCTGCTTTGCTTTCTAAAAATGAAAGGCATGCTAGAGCAGCCGGCGCGGGGTGGGGTGAGCATCACTTCGAGGTTGGGATGGCGTCGGGTACCCAGCCCCATCTCTAGGGTTTCCCCCAAGCCTGGGCTGCCCTCAGCAGCTGCAAGCATGGGGGAAATGAGGACAGGCAGGATGAGAGCATGCCCGGGCTCCCAGATACAGGGTTGAGGCTTTGCTTGGGACAAGTGGGGCAAGCTATGGGCATCATTTTAGGTGTCGGCATCCTTTGGTTGCTGGCAGCGTGCCGGGGTAGGCACCGCAGCCAAGGGTGCCGCTGCTACTCTCTGCAAACCCCCCTGCCTGCTACGCAGCCCCCTCTACCCCTGCCTGGACTTCTCTGGGCAGGGCTGGCAGAGGATCTGCTGCTGGGCGAGTGCCAGCGGAGGCGGGCAAGGGGGAGAGAGTGGCGTGCCCCGACCTGCTTTAGCTATGAGATCACCCCGCGCTCCCAGCTTTTAAAGAGCAATACGAAGCCGTACGTGGCCCTGGGTGGCTCTTGATGGGTACGAGTGAGTGCGAGAGGCTGGACCGGAACAGGCAACCATCGCTGGGGCTGCGCTTGCATGCACCCTGCTCCCCAAAATTCTGCTGGGTACCTTTGGAAAAATTCCAGTTTGGTTTTACATGAGCCCAGGGGTCAAATCTGTGCCCCTCTCAAGCCCGTGTGCTGCAGGCTTCCCTGCGGGTAGCTGAAGGAAACTCTTTCCACGGGGTTTCTGCTCAAGCATCCCCCAGGCATCAGCGGCATGTCCTGAAGCGCGGGGCAAAGCAGGGAGGTCGCACGTGTCCACGCAGGGCTCCGGCCAGTGATTTACGCTCCTTGGCACTGGGGACACGGCGCAGGGATGAGCAGTAACCAGAGCTGTGCTGCACCTGCACTGGGCCTCCTGCTTTCGCTCTGATTTAATGTCCCAGTTGAGAGGTGATGTCATTTCAGAGGGAGCCAGAGAAAAGGAAGTGCTGGAGAAGATAAGGTGTTTTAACTCTACCCCTCCCAGCTTGGCCAGGTTTTGAAACTGGGAGCTGTGTTAGTTGCCAGCCAGGAGAACATAGGGGAGGAAAGAGGTTGGTTGGTGGTTGGAGGACACCTTCCTCTTGGGACAGTGGGAGCTGACGCCAGGATCTGCTGAGATGAGGGGTGGTGGAGGACCTTGGATGTTGCCAGATGGTATGAGCATGATTTTGTGCACCACTCCGGCTTCTCCATCACCTTCACCTCCCAAACACGTGGGGTGGGTTGTCTGCAGCACCAGCCATACCCCGCCAGAGCCTGGGTGCCACACCAGCAGCCAGGGAGGTGCTCCAGGAGGATCAGCAGAAATGATCCTGGAGAAGGTAAATTGAGAATGTGCCAAGGCTGCCCTGCTTCCGAAGTGGAGAGAGACTGAATGGAAAGGTCGTTACCAAAAGCTCATTAAAAGATCTTGTTTAGCTGTGGAGATGGGCATGGGATTCCCATGGTGCTGAGTCCAGAGACTTGGACTTTCAGAAGGATCTTGTGGGGGCATCCTGGTCCCTCTGACAGTCAAAAGCTCCAAAGTCTTCTCTGCCCTTTGGGTGATGTCAAGCTGCATCTGCTCATTTGCATGACTGGGAAAACCTCAAGGGGGACTGGTTGGGCTGATATGACCCAAGGTCCTCTCCATTACGCCAAGCTGCCATCCAGATGTCCTCAGCTGGAGGGGAGTGAGGTTGGGCCAGACCCGGCTCTACCCCAGAGAACAGGATCAGTGAGCAAGAGCAAATCAGGATCACCAGTGGCCTTACACAACCACACTGGGCATGCGATGGCACTGGGGGTTTTCCAGCTCCCTACCGTGCAGGCAGGGCACCACTTGCTGCCCTGCTCAAGTCAGTGCTCTTGCCACTTGAGCTGGGGATTGACTTTCAGGCAGGTTCATTCACATTTAGACCATGCCAGACACCGTGGCGATAGCTCTGGCTGTCACATGCCACCTACCGTGGCCCCAACTGGTTTTTTTTCTCTCAATATCGGCCTTCAAGATGCTCAAACTGGGTCTGACTGCCCAGCAGCTTGGTGCGATAAATTGGGCGCTGCTTGCTGTCACATTCAGTAAGGTCAGAGCATGAAAAATGGCAATGGCCTGCAGGCACCGATGTGCCAGTCTGGTCCGATGTGGCAGAAATCATGGGCTTGGTGGGGCTGGGCAGAGGGGGCATCTCTCAGAAACCGCAATGTGTCAGCTTGTGTTGCGGCAAGGTTTGGGCTGACCTCCCCAACCCGGGGAGCTTTGCACCTTTGTGGGCTTGCTTGTCGTCGTCCTGCCCTGGTGGGTTTTGCTATCCAAAAGTGACGCTGATTGTCCTCAGAGTAGTAGGCAACCAAGAAAAGGACTTTCTCTTCCTGTCGTTTGTCAGAATGAAGTTGCAAAGAGCAGGAGGAGGTGCGGGATGCCTCACGTGTGCATTAATATCCAGGACAAATCAGAGCTGGCTTTCCATTCCTTTCTCCGTGTGTGTGGCACAGTCATCGCAATGTGTCTGCACTGGTTAGCGATGGCCGGTGGCTTTTTACTCCTCAGGGCTTTGTTCTCAGTGTTGTAGGGTTATCACTGCTTTGTCCCCAGCCCAAGCCTCAGGGTGCCAGGTACCAATGGTCTCAACCTCGCTGCTACAAGCTCAGTGTCCCCATTTTCTTCGCAGGAGGCTTTGCCACCTTCTCATCCTGCTTCCCAGGGCTCTGTGAGGGGAAGCCAGCTGCCATCCTGCCGATGAGCATCTCCCAGCCATGCTTGCCTGTGGCCAACGTTGGCCCCACGCGCATCCTGCCGCATCTCTACCTGGGCTCCCAGAAAGACGTCCTAAACAAGGTAAGACCCTGCCGAGGGGACACGTCTGCCCTGTCCCATCTGGGACCCCAGCCATGCAGAGGGGTGAGGGCATTAAGGACTCCTCTGCTGCCCAGTGGGAGAACCACACATGGTCGGTCTGACCCTACCAGGAGACTGAAGGCAGGGAGAGCATAGACAGAGCCCAGCAGAACTGAGGCGGGTGGTCGCAGGATGAGTCGTCTCATATTGATGAATTTTGGGGTGGTCAAACTCTTTGCTATCCATAGCAAAGGCAGAGGCAGGAGAAACACGGCTGGGAAAACCCTGGGCTTGGAGGGGGAGTTACCACAGCTGGAGGGAGATGTGGGACAGGAGCCAGCTTTGCACCCACCCACCTCGCCCACCGGACTGCCAGATAACACCAATGTCAGCAACGCTGTGATCTCCTTGGGAGCCAGAGAGGGTGGGAGCAAGCTGGGGTACTCGGCCACGGCAGCACGGGGACGGGCAGCTCTGGCCAGGGGCAAGGGCTTGTTCAGGAGACCCAAAAATGAGCAAAGTTTTGCTATGGGAAGAGAGGAAAAAAGAAGGACGGTGCCCTTTTAAAGGTGCTGGAAGGGCTGTGCTGTGATGTCACGCCAGGGAAGGAATTTTGTTTAAAGGAAAAATAACAGCGAGAAGAAAGAAAGAGGAATTGCAGTTAAAATGCCTCTGGGCGCCTGCCTTCCGCGGGCAGGAGGGAGCCAGCCGGGCGTCCTCACCCGGGGCGGGCAAGGGGGGAGAGGGACCACGACGCCAGAGGGGGAGTTGGAGACAGAAAGGAGGGAGAGAGAAATTATATACAGGGAGTAGAAGGAAATGAAAGAGAAAAATGCCAAGAATGTGAGCCTGGGAGCTGGGCCGGCTCCTCCGAGTCAAGGCTGGGCTCTGCAGAGCCTGCTGGGGCGGGCAGGAACCGGCCACTGGAGAGCCAGGGCCGAAATCCCAGTGCGGTCTGCTGAGGAGCCAATGTCAGGCAGGGAAATGGATGGTTTCCTTCTCTCCCCACTCCTCGGAGGGTTTTGTTCATCTTTTGGAGCTGTGTTTTCTGCCGTCTCCATGATGTGGCCAGAAGATGCTCTATTGATAGGCAGCAGAGCAGAGTCAAGTGCAGAGGCCGTGCATGGGCGATGTTTCTTTTCTCCTGCACGTTGCGAAGGAGAGATCCCACATGGCAGCTCGACGCACTCTGACACGTGGAAGGACTCTTTGATCTCTGTGTTTTCTCCTCCCATTTAACTCTGAGTCTTCCCTGGAATAGTGCAGATCAGGCACTGAGACTCAGCAGCTGGCACAGATGTTCCCCCATTTTTCACCAGTCGTACAGGTGATACCTCATCTGATGGGATGGGGAAAGAGACAGAGGTCAGATGAGCCATAAATTTGGCGTCGGCACCCTATATAGGTGAAGCTGACCGTAGCCCTGGGAGGGAAGGAATGGAGGTTGCTGTGGATGCAGCAGTATGCACCCGGCAAACCAGTTCCCTGATGGATGGCCTGGGGGTTGAACCTCACCCCCTCCTTGCAGTTTTTCATCTGACCTCATTTACCTAAGGCCTCCCTTGTGCCATTACATTTTATTGAGTCCAAAATATGGGCAGTGATGGTGGCCAATGAGTAACCAAAGCAGAAAGGTCACGGAAAACAAGTGCAGGTTCACTCCAGTGTCAGAAAGAGGGAAGAGATGGTTCCCTCACCACCTGCCTGTGTCCCAACATGAGAGCATATGTTCACGGTGGACTGTGAGCAACTAACAAATCTGTCAGAACTCCTGATGTGTTTCTGGGGTATGGGAGCAAAGACATGGGTTGACGTTGGTTAACATAGGGTGCTATCAATGACTCGCCCCATCAGCTAGACCAAGGCAGCAGTGGGAGACCCACAGGAGAAAATACTGGGGTAGAAAAAGGCAGGGAGTGCACAGCAAGGGAGATCTTCAGCACTCAGTGCTGGCTGAACTCAGCCAATTGTTCGATCACTTCTTTCCCACCAGGACTTGATGACGCAGAACGGGATAAGCTATGTCCTCAACGCCAGCAACTCCTGTCCCAAGCCAGACTTCATCTGTGATAGTCACTTCATGCGCATTCCTGTCAATGACAACTACTGTGAGAAGCTGCTTCCCTGGCTGGACAAGTCCATTGAATTCATTGGTGAGCTCTTGTTAAAATGGTTGCAGACCCTCCAGTTTTCAGCCTTCAAGACCTGAACTCTTCTTCTGTCCTCCATGGTCTTACTCCCAGCAACCCTTGTCCTTTCACACGTAGGGGTTGACGGTTGGGGAGGGAGGCTAGAGTAATTTCGCTCACCACCTCTGACCGCATCAATGCTTTTCTCTCTGTTTCCTCTACCACACTGCAGACAAGGCCAAGGTGTCCAGCTGCCAGGTGATTGTGCACTGCTTGGCCGGGATCTCCCGGTCGGCCACCATTGCCATCGCCTACATCATGAAGACCATGGGTATGTCATCAGATGACGCTTACAGGTGAGTTTTCCCTGGAGAGCAAGGAGGGGTTACGCTGGTGTGCCACAGTCCAGAGAAGGAAAGCAGGCTGAGCCCAGAAGGAGAGGGTGGGAGCTTCGTGAAACGCTGTCTTACCTTGCCTGAGTCCCGTTGAAACCAAACCAAACCTCCCTTCATAAAGGGTATGCAATGAGGAATGGTTGGGAGTGGTCAAATGGAGGGGGGAGGCAGTCCCATCTCTACCCCTGGGGCATCCCGAGGCCCCATGGTTCCCCAAGACCCCTTTCTTCGGAGGATCTGGTCAGAAGGTCCTGGACGATACCTCTTCTCCCCAAAGAGGCTTAGAGAGTAGGGTTGACCCGCTGAAGGACCAAGCACCAACTGGGGCTGTCTGTGCCTCTTGGCAGGTTCGTTAAGGACCGTCGCCCGTCCATCTCACCTAACTTCAACTTCCTGGGGCAGCTCCTGGAGTACGAGAGGAGCCTGAAGCTCCTCAAGGCCCTGAAGTCAAAGGGTGACCGGAGTGAGGGGGAAACCCAGCAGGACCCGGCAGAGGCAGCTGAGGGCAGCCGACATCCCCCACCACCTACCTCAGAGAAGGCCGAGGAGGTGCCGAGAGGCACCGGCTCAGCGTCCCCCCATGGCGACCTTGAGCGGCAAGGCAGCACCCCGAAGGTCCTGTCGCCCACCGCCCTGCAGCAGGGGCTCAACGGCTTGCACCTCTCCTCCGAGCGCATCCAGGACACCAACCGCCTGAAACGCTCCTTCTCCCTGGACATCAAGTCGGCCTACTCCCCCGGCCTGCGGCAGGACCCCCCCGGACCCCCTGGCCCTGGGGACGCCCCCAAACTCTGCAAGCTGGACAGCCCCTCAGGCCCTGGCGGCCTC